TTTTTTTTTTTTTTTTTTTTTTTTTTCTTTTTCCTTTTCCTTCCCTCCCAGGACTGGAAGCAGGATCCGCGTCCCTGAAACTGCTATGCCAACTGAACTCTGCCGAGCCGTGAGCATGCACGCCATCTCCGACCTCCACTCCTCCCTCACCCTGCGGCTCCTCAACAAGGGGCCCGAGTACCTCCGCAGGCAGATGGAGGCCGGCACCCCGGGCAGGAGGAGTGCCGTGGAGAGGCTGGCAGCCGACAAGGCCAAGTACGTGAAAAGCCAGCAGGTAATCAGCACCAAGCAGGAACCCGTCATCGTGCTCAGCTCAGCCTCAGAGAGCAGCAGCGAGACCTGTTCGGTGGAGAGCAAAGCCGTCAGCAGGGACTTTGGCAGAGGGAAGGGCACGAAGCCCCTGGAGCTGGGCAAGGCGGTTTACTCCTGCCGTGCCCCCCTGCAGCACGGCCCCCCCATAGCCAAGCGCAGCACCCCCAAGAGGCAGATGCGGCCGGATTCCCTGGTGATTTACCGCCAGAAATGCGAGTTTGGGAGAGGTCAAAGCCAGGACAACTCCCGGGGGAGCTTGGTGAGGAGGATCTTCCAAGGGTCCGTAAAAGAGAAGCAGTTGGCTTCTCCTGAGATGCCCAGAGTCATGGAGGACTCTGCAGCCACCGAGAGCCAAGAGCCTCTCTCAGCAAAAGACGGTGACCGTGAGCTGAGCGACCATGGAGCAGAGCAAACCGGCGCTGTGAGCACTGAAGCCCCGGAGCTATGCACAAAAGAGCATGAGAGACCCTCAAAACCGAGTGTACCTCCTGAGGAGGTCAAGGAGGTGAAGAGGAGAGGTCTCCATCGCTCCCAGTCGGACATCAGCTCTCGCTACTCCAAGTCCTTCTCTGAGTTTGATACATTTTTCAAATACTGTGGCCTGGAGCAGGAGGTCATCGAGGATCTTGGGAGAGAGAACTTCTCCGTGGTGTCTGACAACATCTCCTTCAAGATCCGCAGCATCAGCGTCGCAACGTCCGAGAGCGACTTCACTAGGCACAGCGGGGACGAGGGGCTGCTGGAGGATGAACTCACAGAGCAGGTCCCGAGCAGCACCTCCGTGATCGAGCGCAACGCTCGGATAATCAAATGGCTGTACACGTGTAAGAAAGCCAAGGAGACTAACAAGGTGATCCAGGAACTGGCATGATGGCTTCTTCCAGCGTGCGTTGCAGCCTGGTGAACTCAAGGTGTGTGCAAAGCCTCGCCCTGTCGATTTATATATTTCTCTTTCCTCTTTAGCGAGTGGTTGTCTTTAGTCTTTTCACGAAGGGCTGAAGGAAAATGTATTTTGTATACTACATGCTCTACTATGGCCTTTTTGCAAAGCAGTGTCCTTACAAAAAACAAAATACAAATGCGTGCAGCTTGCCAGATTTAGATCAGATCCCCTCACGAGAAATTAGAGGCCAGTGTCTGTGAAGGATGTCTGCCCTTTGCTGATTCCTGCTTTGTAAATAGCTTGTTTTCTCTAATTTCTGCTATATTAAATGCTAGGGAAAAAAACCTTGGAAGAGTGTTCAACCCTTAACTAGAATTGCTTAGATAGCAGACTGAACTGAAACAATTACTAATTAGGAGTATGCTGTATCCATACTATACTGCTACAGTTTTCCCTTCTTTCCACTGCTCTCTCCCCCTTCCCCTTATACATAGGAAGCCCCCAGTACCAGGAAAGCAAAGCTGAGTCAGTGCTCCTGCTAGCAATCTCATTCCCCCTACAGCTTTCTGCTGGGACCATAAAAGTTTGCTCCAGGTGACCCCCTAGCATTTCACAGGCTTTAAGTTTTGTGTCCTCTGACTGTAGTGAATGGCTCCTCTGCAGTGGGTTTTGCCTTGCGGTTTGGCACCGAGAGCTGGAAATCTGTTGTGCGGTTTGCCTTGGTTAGAGGGGTACTTCACTGTTTTAAACTAAAGATAATATAAATATGTGGCATCTAGGCTTGGAAATCAGTTACTTCACAGACAGAAGCAGAACAAATTTGGCCCTGGCAAAAGCCGACATCCTGGTTTTAATAAAAGCGGTGTTTATATATTCATGGAGCCTTTGGTATTGAAGATCTAGTAGATAACAGTTTTTTTTCTCCTTCCAATATGTGAAGCCCTTAGGATAAGTACCACAGCTTACAGTGTGGTATTTAAAAATTGCATGAGTAGGTTCTTGATATGAAGGATTACATGTATATTTTCTGACAGATCGTAACTGGTGCGTGAGAAGAACATCATTTAGTGCAGATACAGCTGTTGATAGAGTGTGTGGGCCTTGTGAGTATGGAGAAATGTAGTGCTCGAACGTCTGTCCTTCGTGCATGTGGGGCTGTCACTCCTGAGTCCTTTAAACTATATAATGGAAAAATCAATTTACTCAATTGAAATTGGTTTTAATTATGTGAAATTTGGATCGCTTTTAAAATTTGAATTTTTCTCAAAAGCCTATTTCCTTCCTGCAAGTTGAGGGAGGAGAAAGGGAGACAGAGCCATTTTCACACAAACATTTCAAGCCCTTGTAGATAAGAATGGTTGTCAGGTATCCAGCTGACAACTTAAAGAAGTGTTGTTATGTGATAGAGCCTTTCCCAAATTAACTTAGAGAAAAGAAAGGGCCCTAATAATTTCTTCTTACTCATCCTTGTGTGATAAAAAGACAGGGATATACACAAAAAAAAAAATGATGCTGGTAGCAGTTTGTGAAGCTCATTGCAACTGCCAGCCTTGCTAAACGCAGAGGATGGGAGGCAGATTTCAGGGCAAGCAGGAGCCACGGAACAAAACCAACCACATTTCCGTGAAGCAAAACAAAATAAAAGCCTGTTTGCTCCTGAATGCCCATGCTGGGGGTAGGGTCCAGGGCCAGAACCACAGTTGTCACCGCAGCGCCTGCTCAGGAGGGAGCAGTTGGCTCTTTCCCATCCATTTGCAGGGTGCTAAGCGTATCCAGCGCTGCCCCTGAGACTGGAGGTGCTGGTGACCACCCCAGGGACCATGCAGCTTGTAGAGGATGTGCTTCACCAAGGCAAAGGCAGGAGGGGGGAACTGCTTTTCCAAGGTCTGAGCCAGTGTAACCTCACAGGGGCTCCGTCAATGGCTTTTTTGTTAACATCTAAGACAAAGTGACAGTTCATAGCATATAGCTTAACAGGGTTTTAAAAAGACTTCCATGAAGTAAACAGAAAGTTTATCCCAGTCTGTGGTCATTCTGCAATTTTAATACCTAGAACAAGGGAGGGCTTTAAACTGTCAGCAATCTCCTTTGGCACTAAAATTTTCGGCAGCCTAGGAAACACTAATCCATAAGGTGCATATTATAAACCTGATTTTAGGCATACTAGGGCTGACTCTGAGCTGATAGACCTCAGCACTAGGACTATGATTGCTCCTAGGGTAATTTCTGAAAACTGAGAATGTACTTATTTAGGCCACAGAACCAGAAAGGTCAGTTTAAAAATACCTGTACCTAACACCCAGAATAAAGGACAAGAGTCACAGCAGCTACCATAAGTTAAATATTACATTTACTGGACAGAATTTAAGCTGAGAGTTGTTATCACCATATGATTGCAAGATGAGTCCTGTAGTTCTGATCAAATGTTCATCTTTGCATTCAGTCCTACACTTTCTCTGACAATTCATCATCAGGTTATCTATGTGTTTTCACTGTATCTATTTGGCTCTGTTTAGTTTTCTTACTGGTTATTAATGGGCAGTGGGCTTCTGTGCTGCATGGGGGAGCAATATGCTCTCTCCAGCCTTCCCAGGTACATCCTTGGAAGATTCCTCATTTTACACAGAGGCTTGAAAATTGTTGCACCTTCTTTGGAAAAAGGCAGAAACCTTTTTTTCTTAAATCCAGCATTCATTATGTGTAAAACGCCTTTCAAGAACTGCAGGGCTCTTATGGGCTGGTGATCATTCCATACATATTTTATGTTCTCCATTTAATTTTTCATGAGCTCTCTGGGACCCGGTAGGGCACCATGTAAACAAAACAGTTATCTGAAGGATCAGGTTCCCTAACATGTTTCATCAGAGTGATTGCAGAGTCTGAGCGTGGGTTGTGAGCTTCAGAAAAGTGAGGTCCTCAGTGAGATGGGCATTGCTGTTTCTCAGTGGGACATTGCCTGGATTCACCTCTGCAGTTCAGCTCCTCTCACTGTCAGCCCTGCTTGACTCTAAGGAGGTGGCTCACTTTGCGTCCTCTTTCCTGGGCTGAATCAAGATTATTCAGCCTTGAGTTTCAGCACCATTCTTAAATGGTTGTTCATTTTTTAAGTGGAAATCTCCTGTGATGAGAATTTACTATGTTGGCAATAGCCATAAGGAGCTGAATAAAATCTTTAGAATATCACCTTATGATTGTCTGATGTGATAAATAATAAATGACACTTTTTTTTTCCCTCTTTCTTCAGCATTCTTGACTTGGAAGTTGAACGAAACCAGACACAGGAGGAAACTCTCCCCTCATCTGGCTCACAACTCTTTGTCCAAGTTTAGTATTTTATTATTGCCTCCTACCCTCGCCCCCATCCACCGGCAGCCTCACTCTTGTCACAAGTGCAGGGGTGTCCAAGAGTGCGATGACAAGCAGAGATTGTGAACTGTACCCTAATGAGGCAGCAGGAAACAAAGGCTCCTGGAAAAGCAGTGTGATGGCAGCTGCCATCCACAATAATATTCAGCATCATCTCACTGCCTCAGGATGCCATTCTGGACTGTGACAGAAGGTCTATGTTGTGCACCTGTCTCTCTGCAGCCATAAATTTGTTGACAGGGATGGGGTTAGAAAGTGGAAATGAAGTGGGAGTGACCTCTGGGTGAGGTGTTTCCTGGCAGGCAGGCAGGCTCCACCTGGATGTTCAAAGACTGTCTTACCAGGGCTGTTTGACCAGGGCTCATCCTGACATCATTAGACATTATTTGCTTGGCTGGTGAAGACTAACAGTGGCAGCTTTATCTGGGATACTTGGCAAACACACTGTAAGCGAAATTCCTGCCAAGCCTCTTTTTCTCTGAGAGTACTTAAGCCAAATTGGAGTACCTTGTATCCATCTAGTTTGCTCTGTCACACAGCTTGCTCAGCCAGTGGGGAGGAATAGCCTTTAAAACCCTCTTCAAAATATTTTCAGGAGCATGGTACCAAAAAGCAGGTAGTCAAAAATGAGGAAGGGTTTTGCATGGTTACTCCTTGCTGCAGAATGGTACATTTCACATGTACATAGGCCCCTCCACTTTGTTTGCAACTTGTCTCCAACTCTGGCATTGCGAACATTGTAAGGTTTGGCAGCTTGTGGTTTAACACCTTTCATTTTATGCACTGTGAGTGAGCAGTGGGCTTGTAGAATCACCTTAAGAAAAACTGTACCCTGGCTTATGTCAGTTCACACTTTCCTAGCATGGGAGTGGAGTAGGGCTGTCCTTGTGATATGCGGGATGGCATCCCTGCACTGCAAGGCAAGAAGACATGTTAGGGCACAGCTGTGCCAGGTAAATGTCCTGATGGGGTGAGACACCCAGTGTAGACAGCGCTTTTCTCAATATCATCAAGAAAAGGCTTCATTTGGACTGGCCGAGCTAAACATGTTTTAAAAGCTGATCAAAAGTACTTTGAATCATCAGTTTTACAGAATGAGGCCTCTACAATAACCCATGGAATTTGCAGGCTGTGCCTCAAACACCCCAGTCTGTCATTGCTTGCTAGAAAATGTCTTGCACCAAAGCATTTCTTTGTGGACATTGCAAACCACAAAAAAATGCAAAAAAATTCCCCAATCAAAGCCAAAACCAGTTCCCTTTTTAGTCATACCAATGCCTGTCTGTGATAGCTCCCCCTCTGCCATAATGGTGACTTGACCAGAGGGTCCTGCAGAGGTTAAAAGTTTACTTTGTGTTGCCATGGATGTGGTGTCCTGGTGTTCAGCTTACCTGGCTGTCAAACCTGCAACATGAGGAGTCCAGAAACACCAACTTTCATTCTCCGCATTCCTGCTGACCGCACTGCGGCAGCTCACTCTGTTGCCTCTTCTGGCCCAAAACAGCTGCCAGCACAGCCAGGTAGATGCCGAGCCCAAGTGAACACTCAAGCTGCATTTCTCAAGTGTTTGCTACTCAGTAAATACGGGAGCAGAAATCGGGAGCGGAAAGGGCGAGGGTGAGTGTCAAGGATTCAATAAATCATTGGTGGTAGGAGGAACAGTTGCCCTTTTTAACTTATGCCAACGTTGCACGTGGAAGAGTTGCTCCTGAAGTGCTCATCAAGTGGTTTAGTTGACATCAGTTATATTCACAGCAAGATCATCAGGGTTGCACTTCCATGTGTTTTAAATGTGTTTCTCTGTCCTTGGATGGTTAGTTCTCAATTACAGCAATGGTTTGGGAATGCAGGGCATTTGTCTTCATTTTCTAATGTTAGGCACTAAGGTCTACATGTCTGAAGTTGTCAAGGTAGATGACAATTCCAGATAAAGTAATTGTTGAACCCACTTTCCACTTGGGAGAAAACTAAATAGTTTGCATGCGTGAGCTGCAAACTTAGAGGGAAGGTAGTACATGGGGACGTTTTCATTAATGAAATTTCTGTGTGTATTTGTTACATTATTATTAAAGGATGATTCTCAGAAAACTCCAACCCAAGATGCTGCTAATAAGATATATGTGCTTAAGGTGCAGGTTTTTAAGGGACACAGTCTAGATTTATTAGTCAGGGACATAAGCTGACGTATCAGTTCTTTTCATGCTCACTTTGCAAGTTGCTGTCCCACATAAATATTTATATGCATTTGTCAGAGCTAAGGACTGCTTTTTTTTGAAAATGTGGATGACACTAGACAGCTCAGAGCGCAGAAAAAATTTTCAGTGTTACAAATCAGTGCCCTGTCACAGAAGAGAATTAATTTGTTTCCAAGGAAAATTTTGGTTTCATTTTCAAGCTTCTGTTTGGTTTTGCTCTTTTAGTTGAACAGCTCTCAAAAGTTAAGATACAAGGTGCATTTGTCATAAGTTTTCAGTGTTAAGAAGGAATATGTTTAATTTGCTTGAAAGTATTGTACATCAGCCTTTCTCAAAATCGATGAAGGTTTTATGGCAGAGCTTAGTGAAATCAGATCTGGCCCCATTCTGAATATTTTTTTAATCCTCCTTTTTGTTTTTATGAACAGTTCAGGGGTGACTTTCCACACTGATATGTGGCAAAATTTCCCCGACTTTGTTCAAACTGATAGGAACCCCAAGCTCTCCCAGATACCATTTACTTCAGAGAAATGTGGACCTAAGATCTTTCCCTGATAAGCTATAGATTCCCTTTATTTAATAATACCTTCTGGGTAAACTAATAACCTACCTTTCCCAGTATGCCAGAGCAACAGCAGATGACAGTCCTTCTTTCTGCATACATCGTGGGAATGGGCAATCCTGTCCTTTTTCCAGAGAGTGGGAGCTCTGGGCTTCCACTGAGCTCCTGTTATTGTTACATGTAAAGGCTTTTCTTTCCTTCTGCTGGGTCTTTCAGTCATATTCCTCAAAATGAGAAGAAAACTTGTGAATGTTAGTCATTACCTATCCTTTTCTCAAAAAAAGTGTCAAGTTTTTTTTTACTGTTTGCTTATAAAAGACATGCTTTGAAAGGGGTGGGATTTTTCAGCTTTAGTGGTAAACTGCAGTAAAGCAGGCCATGGTGGTACAAACAGAAGTTCTAGCAATGGAGTTGGGTTTCTAGTCTTTTGGGAAACCTAAAAATGGGGCTGAGGACAGAGGCAAGTCATCAACTGAGTTATTAGTTTGTCTAGAACTATGTAAACTAAAATAGTCAAAGGGAGTGCAAATGTGCAGTGCAAACTGCTATTGACACCCAAGTGTTTCAGGGTGCTCCAGTGCTGTGACAAGGGGCAATGTCCATGGCTGTAGTGTAACAGGCAAAAGGTACAAAGTCTGTTTTTTATGACCTGGAAGCAAGTATTTGCAATAAAGGCATCAAATAGAGACTGTAATCTTTGCAATATATTGTAAATATTACTTTACAGAAGACTATAAGTAAGAAATACAGATTTTTCTATATTATGTATATTACTTTTCTAAGGGATATAAGGACTTGTATTTTGTGAAATCAGCCAAACATTACAACAATGAAGATAAAGCAGAAACGTTCTCCTGTGAGCAGGTTGTCCTGTCATTGCCTCCTGTGAAGTTTCTTGCATCTGCTTTTGAATCCTTTGAAATGGAGTACTGTCATTTCTAAGTTGCTATGTTTATATCCCTGTGAAAGAACCTGTGTGCTTTTGAATGCATACAAATAAAACTACCACTCTGAAAGTTAATGTTTTTTTTAAAAAGTGTACTTTTATTTTGTTGTCTCCATTAGGGTACTATTATTTTAAAGCTAGAATCCCATTAGGGAATTCATTTCTCTGTGAGTGAGGCTGATATTAGACTGAACATCTGAAAGCACAGTGCTTCCCTGGGTCATACCCAGACCCCTGGCTGAGAGCTTAGGCAGGGAATCTTGTAAGGAGATGGCAGGTTAACTGTTAGCTCTCAGTATCAGTGCATTTGAAATGTATGAGGCTAGGGCCGTTCCACAGTGTTCTCATAATTTTTATTTCAGAATATGTGTGAAAAGATAGTTTATTTCTGAAGGGTAGTATTTTTTTTCTGACTTTAGTATTATATTTGGTTTTACTCACTGTCAAAAGCTACAGTGTGCTGCAGGCAATACCACATTCATCACAGCCTGTCCCCAAATCAGCAGGGAATTTCAAGTTCTACTTGGAAAAAGCATTATCTCCAGAATCTTATTATCAAGCTGTTGTTTGACTGGATTCCAAGAATTCAATATATGATGCTAATTCCCTGTGCATGTATTTTGTGAAGAAAGCAGCAGAAATAATTGTTTCATACAGTGAGCTTTTACTAGAGACCAATGCACTCCCGTTGCATAATTATCATTTTGGTGTGGTCTCATGTGCTCAGACACAAGTGTTTCACCAGCCAGCATTTGAACACAACTGGAGGTAGAGCTAACAGGCTTCCTGTGCAGATTAGGCTCTTCCACAAAAACCCAAGAGCAACTTTATCATCATTGACATGTAGCCTTCCTCACACAAGCCCTGGTTGACCTGTGTCAACTCAAGATACAAAGCAAGTCTGGAAAGGACAGTTTGTGCATCCCCCTTTTGATGGAGGTTAATGTCCCATAGCAAGTCTTTCCTAGTTTTGAGGCCTTAGAGAGGAAGGAGTCATCATAGACTGTGAATAACCTTGCACTACAGCCCATCTTAGCATTTAAGAACATCATTCTTAAGTCATTTTTCACATAGCTTCTGTGTCCCACATTTTATGAAGTCTGGTGGATTTTTTTCAGAAATAAGGATTTGCAGTCTCCTGTTCTTGGACTCTCTGGTGCAAGCAACCTCTTAAAGTCCTCATCTTACTGATTCACTGCTGCTCTTTTGATTCATCTCTGGGTAATAAATAGGTGTTGGAAAAAAACTCCGCAGAGATACAGTAACTGGAAAAAGGTCTTTTCCGGTGTTTTGTAGATGTTGGTGCATCTGAACACAGAACTGCAAAAGTGCTTAGCATCTCCAAGAGCTTTTAACAAAGAATGGTCTATGTCAACAGCAGAGAAATAAGCAAATACAGGGTTTAGCTCTACCCTGCAAAGAGATGCCTCCAAATTTTAGGGAAGTTTAGTGATTGGGCCATATTTATCCAGGATTCATCCTGTGGGACTAAAGGGGACTATATCAATTCTCTTAAGTGGAATGTTGCACAGAGGCAGTAGATGCCACATCCCTGGAAATAAAATGGGTTTAGAAAGGACTACTCAGCTCATTTGCAGGCAACAATGTAACAGGCAGTTTAGTTGAGGGAGGTCTCTATGACAAAAGGTCTTGAGAATTTTGATCATTCACACTTGGCAATAAAACTGGTGATATACCAGAAAAACAAACAGTATCAGAGAAAAACAACCTCCAGATCAAAGTCAGTTACATGTATCCATCTCCAGAAATCAGTCTACATCCTGAAAGAACATAAAATCCTGTCAAATTAGTTTGCACATTTGTAGGAGTGTTGGGTTGCCTCATCAAGTAACATGATTAAAAAGATCTAAGAGCTTTGATTGTTAGGGTTTCACAGTTCACCCCAATAATCAAGACTACCACAGGAGCACTGATTTTATGTTCTTTTTCATAGGCTGTAGCAAGAACGAGAGGGTAGCAATCATCAACAGCTACCCACAGAAACATGTGATTATTCATCAGGTGATGATCAACATAAGACAGTGCTGAACCAATCAGAGCCAAGATTTAGACTCATGCACAGAGGCAGGCACAGCTGAGCATGCTAAGGGGAGTGCTGCTCTTACTTCTTCCTGTCAACCCAACCTCTTCTTACATCACTGTTTTTCTCACTGGTGAGTAGGAAGTCTTAACCACTTCCACAGTTATTCATCAGTTTGAATTACTCATTTTGTGCCCTCTCTAACAGCCCCTTTCTGTGTTTACATTTCCAGTGAACTCATTCATGTGCCAGTCATGTTACACAAGGCACTGTTCTATCTATCCTCATTCTTGTACAGTCTTTTGTTCTGAATAATGTTTCCAGTTACGTTTTATACCCTTTTGCTCAATCTTTATCCACCCCTACCCCAAGAAAACTAAAAACTGAACACGCAGCCAAGAAATTAATGAGTTGCATAGTTAAGCAGAGGCTTACTAGATTAGAGACCAATTCTCCTGTCCTTTTTAATGTATATATCTTTTACTGCAAAACTTAGTATGTTGTTTTTCATTGTTTTCCCCTTTGATACCTGTTAGTAACATTGTCCTTGGCTTGGTTTGAGATCTTTTAGATGGTAAGTTTCTCAGAACTGTGGTGTAACACTTTTATTTGTCTGAAAAGAGCCCTAAGCACAGCTACTGCAAAATCAAATGCCAAATCACAAATCTTTTCATGGTGAAGTATAGTTTAAACATGCTAGGAACTTCAGTGCAGTCAAATAAAAAGAACACCAGGCCCGTGAAAGCAAATTGGGCAAGCTTTGCAGCAACAGGACTGAAAAAGAAATGCATCTGAAGCAGTTCTGTATGGGACCCAGCACAGGAAGGTATCTCTTGAATCTGGAAAGATGCAGCTTGCCCCTCATTTCTTGAGGTCCAGCCCTCACTCATTTTCTCCAGGAAAGTAAATTTAAGAAGCAGTTTATCACACACAAAAGTCAACCAACATCAAATGGTGATGTAGTCAATGGGATTCACCTGCAAACACAAGATGAGGTGACTCTCTAGGCATCTACTGGGTTTAAAAAGAGCTCTCCCAGAGCTGCCTCCATCTGCTGTGGCAGCAGCGAGAATAGGTCTCCTTTCTCCCTGTTATAGAAAAAGCATTCAATTCCTAGGTGTCAATTACTATAAAGAGGCTGAAAATTGCATAATTTCTGAGAAAAGGCCTTCAGTGTAAACTTCCAAAACACACCAATAGCCTGGAGGCTCCAATTTTCTTGAATTTTCAGTTATTTAGATCATATAACTTTACTACCCTACAGTTGTTGGAAGAAAGACCATCTATTTCCTCCAGAGCATGAGACATTCATAGTTCATCTTAGATTGCTCTAAAACCATTGTGGAAATGAAAGCGGTGGGATGGTAAGAGGACATCTCTGCCTACTGATGCAAAGTCTCATTGTGCAGTATCCAACAGGATGGTTTTCTTCCAGGGCTCAGTGGAAGAGTCAGGAGTGCTCTAAGGAACTTACAGTATGTGGTGTGTCTGGCCATGGGTAAGTGCTCTGTTTTGTTGTCCGTATATAGTACATAGCATGATAAGGTCCTGGGCATGGCTGCAAAACATAAACATTGCCTGGCACAAATATATCCATTATTAAGAACCCTGTGATGTCCATTTCCTGCAGCCTTCACAACCTTCCCTAGCGCTTCTGTTCGTTATGACTAATCTCAAAGACATGGCTGGAGACAAACTGATAGTGTCTGCACAGTCAGGATTACACCTTTGCCACTATGAGCAAGGATGAAGCATAAAGCAAAGACAACAGATTCCATCAGACCAGAAAAAACACATAGATGGTTCTGAGTGAAATCAAATACAAAATATACAAACATAAATGGATGTATTCCGTAGGGAGAAGTGTGCTGCGTAGCAACAAACCCATCAGAAGTAAGATCAAAGCCATGTAGCTGAGCAAGGAGGTGAAAATGAAATCAGTTCAAGAAGGAGTCTCAAAAAATTAAAAATGTGGGTATTGAGGTGAACTGGAAAGCTCCCAGACTGTGAAGAGAAGATGTAGCTGTGATGATGGGGTTTCCAGCTGTGTAGAGGATGCAAGAAAAAATCATCAGGAATAAAGTGAAAGATCATGTAGACTATTTGAGTTCCTTTAAAGTAGTTGGGGTGGGTCTGCTATTCTGTGCAAGTCTGATGAGCTTCTGAAGTAAAAGAAAGCTAATGTAAGAATCATTTTAATGAAGATGTAGGGACTAGATACTGGCTTTATACTATGTCTTGCTTTTCAAGCTCAGAGATTCTCAGTGTGTTTAATGAAGTAATTAGGGTTTTTTTGGTAGTAATTGCAGCTAAAAAGGGCCATATGTTACTTCAGTCAAGAAGAGGGGGTACTAGGATATGTGGTAGTAGCTTAAGCTGTTTGAAACAATGTAATTGTCAAAAGCACTCAGCCTTTTCAGAGTCATAATTCTCTTTATCAGAAGTAACTCAGAGCCAGTTTTACAAACAGATGCTGGTAGTAAGGGTTCAGCCACATGACTCAGCTATGGCAGCTGAACCTGCCAGCACTTGTCCTGCGAACTGCCGTGACTGTCCAGGTGTGTGCTCTTACCCTGCTCCAAACCAGAAGTGATGCAGCCTGGCCTGTAGGTAGCTTATATTGCTTCGTTATGAGGGCAGGCTAGGGCAAACAGGATCCAGCAGCACAGTGCACCTCACCTAACATTAACCCCCTGCAGCCAGTGAGTCATCCCGCCTTTAGATAGATTTGGGTATGAGGAATGAATCACTTCTGGACCTACCTACATTTCACTGTTGATTACAGAGTGGGACTAGATGACTAGTTTAGGCTAGACTACTAACCTTTGGACAGTTAAACTTAGACAAGAGCAATTCTACCCTCAGCTGATGTTTGTAACTTACAACACTGTGAATGCAGTGTCTGTCTGAAGCCATAAAGCCTACTGGGATTTTTAGGGAGGGGCCGTCAGTTTTTTTCAGTCATTCATTAAGATAAAACATTTTGGTCAGAATGGCTACTGTTTCTGAAAATCCCCACACAGGTGTGGCTGGA